GCCATTCCCTTCAAAGCAGCCTGAACTTCTTTCATCACCATAGGCTCTTGCTCATATGTTGTTTCATGAAATTCTTCTGTGTCTGAAAATTCCTTTTGATACAGTGATTCAGTATATTCTTTCCACCTTCTTTTAATACTTCCTGGATCATTTAACATTCTGCCGAAAGGATCCTTGACTATAGCAACTCAAGGTTTGAATTTGTTCTTCAGTTCTTCCTTGAACTTAAGAAATGCTGAGCGAGTTCTGCCCTTTTGATTTTCTGACTCTAACTCTTTGCACATTTCATTGTAATATTTTTCTTGGTCATCCCATGCTGCCTTTTTAAATCTTCTATTCAACTTCTTTAGTATCTTTAATTCTTCCTTGTGCTTTGGCTTCTCTGTACTCCAGTGCAATTTTCAGAGTCTCTTCTGACATCCATTTTGGTTTTTGTTTCCTCTTCTGTCTTTGCAATGACCATTTGCATTATTCCTGGGTGATACCCTTGATATCCTCACACAAGTCGTCTGGTCTTCGCTCATCAGTGTTCAAGGCCTCAAACCTGTTCCTGAGATGGTTCTGAAATTCAGGTGGGATAGATTTAAAGTCTTATTTTGGTTGCCTTGGTACACAAATCAAATCTACAAGCTGCTCTGAGGGAGAAAAGGATAAATCTACTTATGTGTATTTTATAGAAATTTGGGCTATTAACCCAAAGATCATGCTTTTTGGCAGTTCAAACCCACCAGGAACTCTGAGGCAGAAGGATGGACAGCCTCCTTTCATTGTGATTTATAGCCTTACAAATTGATTGGGGGGAGGTTGCTATAAGTAGGAATCAACTTCATAGAAGTAAATAAACTTACATAAAACATTCAGACTTAGACTAGTGTTTTGCCAATTTGTATTTGTAATAAGGATTTTCTTTTCACCACATCAAATAACCTGGCCATTATTTCCTTTATTTGAAAGAAAATTTTTTTTTTGTTTTCATATAATAATTCCTTTTATTTATATTTCATTCATATAAATTGTTTTTATATAATTTTTTATTTACAGTATGTTTCACAATTCATATACATCCATTGTTGTTGTTATTACTGATGCCATTGAGTTGAGCATGATTCATAGCAACCCTATGAACAAAAGGCCTGAAGCCTTTCTATAATTACCGCAATTTATCAAAGTTCATAGAGTTTCCACACAGGAGCACGTTTTCTATTTCTAGCAACATTCTATGACAATAGAAGCTTCTCCATAGCTCCCAGTACTTTCTGATGCCGTATCAGAATTGCAGGTCTATCATTCTATTAATTCTACCAAAAAGTTTTAGGCAATCTTTAGCCTTAGTATCAATGGCATCAAGTCCTCTATTTTCTCTTTTTATCCTATCAAAAGTCACTTCCAAATTCAGAATATTTGTTAAAGCATGAATAATTCTGCCTTGGATACTTAGGGTTGTGGTAGCACAGATATCACAAATGGATAGTACAGACACTTAGCATTCCACAGTTAAATCAGAACTCTGATTCTATAGAGGGTCTCACTTGTCTATTTCAGACTCAAGTTTATAGATGCTTGATTCTACTATCTGTCTTCTTACTGTGTATATATCTATATCCATCTTATTACTTGAAGTGATGTGACTTATGGTCCACACTACATGGATATTACTTCATTTAACATGACAAAAGAGAAAGTATATTTTTTAATACATCCAGAGGTAGTTGTTGTTGTGGTTGTTATGTGCCGTCGAGTTGCTTGCGACTCATAGTGACCCCTGTCACTGAATCAATCCACCTCATAGAGGGTCTTCCCCTCCTGCACTGTCCCTCCACCCTCCCAAGCATGATGTCCCTCTCCAATGACTGGTCCCTCCTTGCAACAGGTATGTCAGATGAAGCCTCAGAATCCTTGCCTCTAAGGAGCAGCCTGGTTTAACCCTCTCCAGGATTAATCTGTTTGTTTTCCTATCAGTCCATTGTACCCTCAATACTCTTCTCAAGCACCACATCTCAAAGGCATCAATTCTCCTTATCCTCCCTAGTCATTGTCCAACTATCTGATGCATAACAAGTGATTGCAAAGACCATGGCCTGTATCAGGTACAACTTAGTCTCCAGAGATACACCATTGCTCTTCAGTACTTTAGAGAGGTCCCTAACAGCCGACTTTGCCATCACAATACGTCTTTTAATTTCCTGGCTGCTGGTGCCAAGAAGGACCAATAATTCAACACATATAGTGGAAAGATAAATTTCAACCTATAGTAAAGGTCATGCATTCTATTAATAAAAGAATGTCTTTAAAACATTGCTATCACATACAAATTTTTTATTTAATAACGTTGATTTCTAAGGTTCAAGAGAATTGGGTAAGCAATAAATACCATACAAAATTTCCCTTCTAAAAAAAATATTTCTTGACTACTACTTTTATTTACTCTTTTGTTAAAAAGATAGTAGATGTTCCATGCTGAATATTTGGAGAAAATATCAATATGTTAAAACGATGGTAAAGTAATATATCATTAGTCCTTCTGTTCTTAGTTCTTATATTTAAAACTATGAGAGTCCTGCAACGAATAAAGATGAGCTAAAGCAGCAGCAAACCTTTACTGCCTAGCTCTTCTGCTATTAAACAAGTAACAGTTTATAAAAACAGTTCCCAAAAGATTTAGGTTCAGGGTTCCCATTCTGACATAATTATGTTTAATTTGGGTAAATTACATAATCTTTCTGTGCCCTGATTGTTAAATGCCTGTAGAATGAGGATTTAGCACTTAACTTCATGAAATTGTGAGAACTAGCTGAGATACATATAAAATGTCCAAAATTATAATCCGTATTTAAGGAGTGTTAAATAAGCACTAAATAGCAGTAGTAATGTTAGGTAATGTTTTTATCTTATTCTATTACACTTCTCTTGTATTAAGTTCTATTTTCTGTTCTTTTTACTCATTAAGGAAAAATTACGTCAACTACGAGACTGTATTATTGGGAAAAGGCCAGAAGAAGAAAATGTTTATGGTAAGGAAATATATTTGCTATTCAAAAATAACAGAATGATGTAGAGTAAAATTTAAGAGTTTTGGAATTTAACAGTGCTGAGTTTAAATCCACACACCTCCAGTTATTTGATTTGAAAAGTACCTTAATCTTTATCTAATACTTAATTCTCCAACTCAAATTCCTTATCAACAAAGCAGGCTAATTATACATATTTCTGGGAGTTGTTGTGTGAATTAATGTTTAAAATACTTAACACATCACTTGACCTATAATGATGAACCCTAAATAAACACTAGACATCCTTGTTCTTTGACTCTTCTGAAAGATCCCTGACAGCAGATTTAGCTAATGCAATTTGTCTTTTGATTTTCCAACTGCTAGTACCAACAATGTTGATTGCGGAGCCATACACACTGAAATTGTTAACAACCTCAATCTCTACTCTATCTATCATGGTGCTTCCAATTGGCCCAGTGGTGAGACTCTTTTGTCTTCTTGATATTGAGTTTTAATCCACATTAAGACTACAGTCTTTGATCTTCAGCAGCAAGCATTTCAGGACCTCCAAAGTTTCAGCAAGCAAGATTTGGTCATCTGCATTATGCATCTTGTTGATGAGTCTTCCTCCAATCATTATGCCACACTCCTCTTCTTAAAGTCCAACCTCCCAAATGAACTGTTTTGCATACATATTGACAAGGTATGGAGATGGGACCCAGCCCTGACACATTCTTTTTCTGATTTTTGAACGATGTTATGTTTCCTTGCTCTGTTCTGAGGACTCCTTCCTGTTCCAAGCATAGATTTCACATGAGCACAATCAAGTATTCTGAGATTTCCATTCTCATCAATGTTAGCCACAATGTGTTGTGATTCACACAGTCAAAAGCCTTTGCATAGTCAATGAAACACAGACAGATATTTTTCCGGTATTCCTCACTTTCAGGCAAGATCCATCTGACATTGGTGATAATGTCTCTCATATCGTGGCTTCTTCTAAACTTGACTTGCATTTCTCGTAGTTCTCTGTCAGTATACTGTTCCAATTGTTTTGGATAATCTTGAGCAGGATTTTGCTTTTGAATGAGAGTAGTGATATTTTGCAATAATTTCCACACTCTGTTGGATCATATTTGTTGGGAATGGAACAAATATGTATCTCTTCCAGTCAGTTGGTCAGGTAGTTGGCCTCCAGATTTCTTGGCACAACTTGATGAGCACATCCAGGACAGCATTTGTTTGTTGAAATATTTCAGTTGGTATCCCATCAATTCCTGGGGCCTTGAATTTGACAAATTCCTTCAGAGCAGCTTGAACTTCCTTCTTTTTAACCATTGCCTCTTGATCATGTTATCTCATGAAATTCTTTTGTGCCAACCAAATCTATTTGGTATAGTACTTCAGTGGATTTTTAAAAAATGTATTTTATTGGTACTAAATATAGTTCTCTTCCTAGCTGTCTGTCAAATTTCTTGGCATGAACTGGTGAGTACATCCAGAAGTGCATCTGTGTTTTTTTAAATATATCTATTGATATTTCATCAATTCCTGGGGCCTTATTTTTTGCCAATATGTTCAGAGCGGTTTGAACAGTCTAGCATACTTATTATAATATATGCTGTTTTAATATCTTATTATCTAATAAATTGCATCTATCTTGCTCTTTGGCCTTTTCAATTCCTTAATATTGATTAAAAAGCCGAACACACATACGCATGGACTTATACACAGAAAGAGGAAATGAGATTGGCATTTTTAAAATTTGGTGTTAGTAAGTAATATTGTTGGAAGGAGGAGTGGCATCCACTTCCGTAATAGCTTTCCTGCGGAAACCCTTTGAACCTGGAGAGAGCATGAAAGACACCCAAGCATCAAGGACCCTCCTTCATAGGGTCGCTATGAGTCGTCCGCGACTCGACGGCACTTAACAACAACAACTACAAGTAATACTGGATGTAAAGTGGATTGGCAAAAAGATGAACAATAACTCTTAGGAGAAATGCAAATAAAATATTACTTAGATGTAGGAATGGCGAGAATTTGATTCAATTAGTTTGGATGCATTATCAAGAAAGAAAATTGCTAGAAGTAACATCATGTTTGCTAAACTAGAAGGACAATGAAAATGAGTGAAATTCTCAATGATATGGACGGAAACAGCCAAGTGGGCTCAAACATACCAATGGTCGTGAAGAGGATCCTTGGTCTATGTGTGAGGCTGCTTAAGGAAAGGCCGACAGTTTAAATCCACCAGCTACTTAGTAGGAAAGGAACGAGGTAGTCTTCTGTCATTAGTATTTATAGGTAAAACTTTTGAAACCTGATACAGCGTTGCCATGAGTTGAAACTGACTGAAAGGCAGTGAGTTAGGACTATTGTTGTTGTTATTGTGTACTACCCAGTAAGAATCAACCCATGGCTCACTCTCCAGTGGGTTTTCTCAGGCAATAAAGTTACATGGGAGGAGATTCCTCATTTTCCTCTCAAGTAGCTGCTGGGGAATTCTTTGCCAATAAACCATTAAAGTTCCCTAAGAATTAGTAGAAATGAATGGAAGATGGAAGATCAAAGTAGTGTCAGAACAGACTCTTTAATTTACTCTAAAGTATTTTGTTGTTGTTGTTATGTGTCATTGAGTTGCTTGTGACTCATATCGACCTTATGTACAACAGCCCTAAACCCTGCTCTATCCTGTGCCAATCATACTGCCTCTGACACACCCATACCGATTACCCCAGTCACTGAATCAATCCACCTCATAGAGGGTCTTCCCCTCCTGCGCCATCCCCCCCACTCTCCCAGGCGTGATGTCACTCTCCAAGGACCTGTCCCTCCTTAAAACATGTCCAAAGTATGTCAGATGAAGCCCCAGAATCCTTGCCTTTAAGGAGCAGCCTGGCTTAACCCTCTCCAGGAAGAATCTGTTTGTTTTCTTGGCAGTCCATGGTACATTCAATACCCTTCTCCAGCACCACAGCCCAAAGCATCAATTCTCCTTCTATCCTCCCTAGTCATTGTCCAACTCTACAGGGTACTGAAGAGCAATGGTGTCACTCTGGAGATAAGGTACAGCTGATACAGGCTATGGTCTTCGCAATCACTTGTTATACATCAGAGAGTTGGCCTCTAAAGTGTAGAGAAGGTAAAGTGCAAGTGATGATGAAGAGAGCTGAAGAGGTTTCAGCAGTTTGAGAAAAAAAATTATTACGATGGACAAATACAGTTAGAAAACCAAAAATGAAAAACACATTTAGAATTTCTCAGGATGAATGAAATGATGGGGGAAAATCAGTCCTTGAGGTGTGATAGGGAAGGATGTTAAGAGAAAAATACTGAATTACACAGGAAGCATCAAAAGAAGAATACCTCAGAAGGCATACAGAGGGTAACTACACCAAAAAGAAGTTGTTGGTTCAACCATTTCAGAAGATATCATAAATGAAAGAACAATGATATGGAAGGAAGAAGTCTAAGCTGTACTGAAGGCACAGAAGAAAAGCAAGACTCCAAAGTCTAATAGAATGACAACTGAAATTTTCTCCAAAAAAAAATAAATGCAGCACTGAAGGTGCTCACTATCAAGAAGTTTGTAAGACAGCTTTATTATACAAGATTAATTAATCAACTAGATAAGTTCCATATCCACACCTATTCTAAAGAAAGGTGATATCACAATATTTGAAAATTATTGAATAATATCACTAACATCAACACAAAGGAACACATTTGAATGTTCAAGTTGCTTTGAGGTAGAAAGATGGGAAATCAACTGCAGTTGAAAACTCACTGAAGGGTCAGCACTGAGTTACTCCAACTGTACAGTACACAGCAGCATCAATATCATCACACATAAGTAGAATCTTCCTAAAGATAATTTAAAATGACTGCAGTAGTATATATCACAGGTTTGGCAGCAAGAGTGGCATCTACTTCCTAAATAGCATGCCTCCAGAAAATTTATGAACTTTGATAAATGATGATAGTTGTAGAGGGGCTTCAGGCCTTTTATTCATAGGGTGTCTATGAGTCATGCTTGACTTGAAGACAATCAACAACAAGAGTACATCTGCAGGGAATTTCTAGAAATTCTATCCTGCTTCAGCAAAAAAGGTGGAATGAAATATATCATTGCTGATGTCAGATCAATCTTGACGAAAAGTCAAGAATAGCAGAAAAATGTTTACTTGTGTTTTAATGATTATGCAAACACATTTCATTGTATGAATCACAATAAATTATTAATAACTTTAGAGGAATGGGATTTACAGAACAATTAATTGTGTTCTTTGAAATCTGTACGTAAACCAAGAAGCAGTCATTTAAATAGAACAAAAGGGGTACAGGATAGTTTAAAATGAGACAAAATGTGTGTAAGGTTTGTATGTTTCCAAAATACCAATTCAATCTGTATGCTGGGTAAGTAACAAGAGGAACTGGCACGCATAAAGAAAATGGCATAAAGTTTGGAGGAAAACTTTAGTAACCTGTAATACGTACATGGTACTACCTTAGTTACTAAAAATGAACAAGGCTTAAAATATTTACTAATGAAAACAGAAGACCTAATTTTAAAGTGTAATCCATACACCTGTATCAATTAGACACATCATGAAAAACAGAGAAATGGCATAGGACAGAGCAGAGTTTAGGGCTGTTGTATATAGGGTCGCTATGAGTCGCAAGCGACTCGACGACACATAACAACAACAACAACATTTCATTGTATAAACATATAACAATATAATTGCCTATTCCTCTATTGAGTATTTGGGTATTTTTTTCTAGTTTGGCTATTTTGAATGAAATGGTGAAGAACTCTTATGGAAAAGTTTTTGTATGGATATAGGTTATCATTTCTTTTGGTAAAATACCTAGTAATGAAATGATTAGGCATATACAAATGCATATTCAACCTTAGAATGGTCACATTGTTTTACATGTTGATGCTTATAATCTATATGGAATGTAATCCACAATCCTGGAAAGGGCCCCAATCGCACTGTCCCTGACACTCCCAT